TAGGCAGCAAAAGACTGTGTATGATTTGGCTCTAGCTCCTTTTGAACTTGGTTGGCAAAGAGATGGATGATAGCCAAGCAGCCACATGTTGTTACTTAATTGAGTCAGTCCCAGTTGACCTCTTGTTATTGCTAGGTGCAAACTAAGAGGACAGGAGGAGAGACAAGGTACCACGCACCATTTTATCAGTAACCTAACAACAAACTACAGACACCGAAGTAAGCCATTTGTTACAGTTAATACCACAACGCGTTTCCTCAGTAACTATTCAAGTTATCTGTCTTCTTCATTTTTCTTTTAGAGTGCACACAACACTGTTGAGCCACATGGCTGTCTGAACTTGATAGCAGGGAGTACATTCCACAGACATTCGTGACTCATTTAAGGTGCATGGAGCTAGTCACTTCTTTAGCAGGATATGGAAAGTATGTCACGTCTGGTATGTGATGGTACACATGCTGCTGTACTGTTTTCACTAGCCAGTTTTAGTTGACACCATTTGCAAACAATCAATATTAAAAACACTGCCAAATTCAGCCTGGACACTTAGCAGGTACAATTCCCCATGAACTCAAGGAAGAATCTTGTGCACTGTGTGTTAAGTTACAACTCTTTGTACACATCAGTGAAGCCCAAGCATGATGTTTTGAACCAAGTTTACTTTTCTGACTCATGCTATAAACTGGAAAGTACAGCTTGCACATAGCTATGCTGCATGAAGAAGGAAATGCTCCGAGAGTGGCTTTGTTATAAAGGGAAGTGAGGCTGCAAGTTGCTAAATTTACATAAATCAATTTGTAAACTCAACCCCTCCCCCAAAAGGAAACTATTTTCTTGCCTTCTGATTAAATAAAGCTAGCAAGCTTTTTTATAGCATTGAACTTTAAAACAAATTAAAACCAAAACAGTTGGAAAGGGAAAGGACTTCTCCATTGCAACTTACATCTTTCATACCACCCTTTGACTAGCTCACAAGAGTTACCCCCCTAAGTTTGCTGCTCCATCACCTACCTTCTGAAAGAAAAAGCTTTCTTTCTCTTCTCCACCCACCTTATACTGCTAGTTAACACAAAGGAGGGTTTTCTACAATCCTCCAAACCCTAGCCATCTTTTTTGGAACATCTTCCCTGTGAATGGACTGAATATAGATATGGATGGTGTTATATTAACAAGCCTATATCTGGTGTACAAGTCTTAGTGTCTGTGCCAAGAGACAGTGGCAGGTGTGGGTAATTATCTCTGAAAGGTAGGGAGATAAATTCTTTGCAGAAGCAGATGTTGAGCTCTAGCATTGAATGAAGATATTTCAAGTTAATAGGTCTGGATGCACATTTCTGGCAATTCACCTTAATTGTTATCAGCGTGACAGCGCATAACAACAAAGCCACCATGGCAAGCCCACAGAGATATTGAAAGTTTAAGTTGCTGTACAAACACAAGGGCTAAATGTTCAAATCTTATTAACTTCAATCTAGATCATCCCTATTGTATAGAAGTACCCCACAAAAGTTATCCTCATAAGTTTCTGCTATACACAGGTGTGTTTGTCTATCTGTCCTCCCTCCAATGGAAAAATGGAGTTGCATCCACAACACTGATATCTCAAAATCTGTAGCAGCTCCAGTTTTGCTCCTTGTCACTGCAGTTCCTTCACTGCTGCAAGCAAAGCTACATTTTTAAGTTAGGTACCTGCATCTTGCAGCCATTCCTTCTGTTATTTTTGCAGCCTTTTATTAGTTACATCCAGAAAGTGACATTTGAACCACAATAATCTTTATGTTTTTAACAGTTCAGTTTTTGTCGGTAATATATACCACATTAATCTTTATGGTATCTAAGCATCTATGTTCTAGTGCTAAACTTCATTTCCTGTCCTTTTCAATAAACAGAGTAAGCCAAGGCAATACACATTTATTTTACCTTGAGACAACCAGACTGGTAAGGCAGCTTGTGTGACTTTGACTATAAAATAGTCTAAAGAAAGATCTGGAATGGCTAATTATAGATGGAGCCAACCAGTCACAAATCAAGCATCTTTGACAAGTCAGACTAATGGCCAACTATCACAAGTTGTTAGGAGCAATAGCTTTAACCCTCCACAACCTACACACCTGAACAACACTGGACACAAAACAGTTGTTAATTTACAGAAACAAATCAGAATATGGGAGATGAAGGAAAATACGTTCTGACAACATTGTTTCAAGCCTCTTTGGGATTTGGGCACTATACAAAAATCTTACAGTTATAGATTCTTCAAGCCATAGTATTCTTAAAATACTCATTCAAAATGTCTGAATCACCTGGATGTTGTTTTACAATAATGTAATAATACACAGAGTATTCGTTTTACATTCTGCATCAAGAACAAAGGTCTTATAAACTGTATGCCTACCAGTACTGAACAAGGTTTATGCACCTACATCTGTGTTTCTAATTAACTGAATGGGAACAAAGGTTATGTCTAGACTATGGGGTTTTTCCGGGATACCTCTGATATCCCAGAAAAACCCCACCGTGTCCAGGGAGCATGTTTGCTCTTCCGTTTTTTTTCATGGAAGAGCAAACGTGCTTTTTTGGGGAGCCCTGTATATCGCATTCCATGAGGGATAAGGGCTCTGCCGAACAGGGGCAGATGAGGATTTTGCGGGGCCCAGGGCAGCACAATTTTGCAGGGCCCCCCCTTTGACACGTCGCATGCACAGTGGCACCATGGCACATGCGCGGGACTTCTTGAAGCGCGGGGCCCGGGGCGGCTGCCCCGCTCGCCCTGCTCTATATCCGCCCCTGCTGCCGAAAGAGAAGGCTTTTCTGCCATTTGGCCCCATCTAGACTGGGCCAAATGGTGGAAAAGCCTCTTCTGGAAAAGCAATCGGAAAAAGCTACGTGAATTGAGTAGCTAGTCTAGACATGGCCAAATTGTTTTCTCTGGGAGAAAAACTAGACAATACAAGATGTTATTCTCCTGAAAAAGAGAAGCAGCAGTTTGTGTTTGTACTGGACTGAAGTGCACCACAACAAATCAGGGAGTGTATAATATACTTATGAGATGGAAGAGGTAGTACATTGAGGGTTTGTCAACATTTGAAATGCACCGGGGCACTGCTACAGCACTGCACTTACGCTGTTGCAGCTCTTCAGTCTGACACTCCCCATACCAACAGAAGTGCTCCCATTGCCGTACATAATCTGCCTCCCTGAGAGGCAATAGCTACTTTGGTGAAAGAATTCTTCAGTTGACCAAGTGCTATCCACACAAGGGTTAGGCCAGTCTAACTATGCTGCTCAGGAGCATCGCTTTTTCATATATCTGAGCAATGTAGCTGAGTTGGCCTGTGTGGTTCTTTTAAAATATGCTAACATTAGAAACATGACCTCAAGACTTTATAGCCTGATAAAACAAAAGATTGCTGTGTAGTTTTCATGCTAAAAAAGGGGTTCTGCTTCCCTCAGGGAATTGACAAAACCAGCCAATCCAGCATAAATTGCTCAAACGTGCGAAACATTTCTCTTTTAAATAATTCTGCTGACCTAGATAACCACACACACTTGGGATGAGTTGTAGCAGTGGCCCTGGTTAAAATCTCCCCACAGGCTAACATCTGGATTGCAAAATTTGGGTTTTTTCATTGTCTATGGAATACATGCAGCAAGGACATTTGTCAGACAGGGTATGTCTACACTGCACAGTTTTTTTTGGAAAAACTTCACATCCACACTGCAATTGTATTCTTAAAAAAAAAAAAATCGAAAGAATGGAAGGGGATTTCCAACATTGGTAAACTTTCTACGAGGAAGAAGCCTTTTTCCGAAAGAGCTATTTTGGAAAAAGGCGTGTCTGAATGGGGAAGAGGGAGTTCTTTCGAAAGAGGAAAAAGCACAGGTGCCCTGGAGGCCATTCCATCCATAGTAATCACAGCTTAAATGCAAGATGGCATCTACACTGAATGGACGCTATCTTTCAAAAAAGCAGATCACTTTTTCGATGTGCTTTTCTGTGTAGGCGCTCTCTTTCGGAAGAAGTTTTTTCAGAAGATCTCTTCCAGAAAAGCTTCTTCCAAAAGAAGCCTTCAGTCTAGACATAGCCATAGAAACTGAATATTTTTTGATCCAATCTGATTTAAGTCATGCCTAAAAAGACATTGGTATGTTACATATACTCATCTAGGGTTAATTTGCAAGATTTTAAGTTTCACTAACAAAGTCTAGATGGTGAGCTACCGGCATTTTATCAAATCTTCAGAGAATCCCTCACTCTGAAAGTGATTCGTGTATGTGGCAGCAAATAATGAAAAGGGTATCAACTGTGCACAGAACCATTTAAAAATCTTGCATATTCGTTTGCATTTCCTTTATTCCACAGCTCTCTTCTCCGCCTGGCTGAGAATAAGGAAACAATCACAGGTTATGCTATGGCTGGTTCCCACCAACACAACATTCCAATCCTCACTGAGCTGTGCATTCAAGCAAAGAGAGAACAAATATAAACAACTCATTCCCATCCATCTACTAGAAAGCAACTCACAGATGCTCCATTATATACCTCCCACTGGCACAGATGAGGCAGAAGATTTGTATAAAAATGGGGGAAGACTCAGACAAAACAGAGGGTCGTTGTAATTGTGTTCATTGGTAATCTGTTAACCAGTGTTCAGCAGTGTTACACTACTGACATGCTACTTAGGCTTTTTTCCCTGTTTAAAGAAATAAACATTGTTAACTGGCCATAAGACTCTACAAGGAATCCTGTGGCACTTTAAAGACTAACAAGTTTATTAGGGTATAAGCTTTCATGGGTTGCAGATCACCATGAATGCTTATGCCTTAATCAAATAGTTAGTCTTTCAGGTGCCACTGGACTCCTTGTTGTTTTTGCTGACACAGACTAACACAGTTACCCCTCTGAAACACGAGACTCTAATTACTTCCCTTCAGAAACTGAAAATATCAGATATTAAGTTCATTCAAAGTATGTGAGAAAAGGACAACAGCAAAACAAATTTATGTAATTTGATTTTTAATTATGTATATAAATAGAAACAAGAGATTGAGGAGTTTTGAGGCTTCCTGCTCGTTGGGTTGATCCTCCAGTAGAATCTTCATGGGCAGACCCTTAAACCTCTGTGGATGCTGTTGTAGGACGAAGGCCTAAAAGTTTCCAGCTGACAGATTCTAGGCAAGGTCCATTCACTGAGAATCCATACCAGATAATGTCAGTTTCTCCTGAAGCACAACGCAGGTTAACTAAACTTGTAATCAAAACAAATTCTTCAGTCACCTTCCTCGCTCTCTCGCTCTCTCTTTATATATATGTATACAGAGAAATGTTGATCTCGCCTAAATCTTCTACGCACCAAAAAAGGGTCCAAAAAAGGGGAGGAAATAAAATTAGTATCACAGACTTATTTTTTTCCACTGCTGAATTGCTATAAAACACACTTAATTTGGTTTACAATTTAATCAATAATTGCTCAAAGCACATAGCGATAAATCTTTGTACTAATCATTGTAGTATACTGATTTACTTATTTGTTCTGTTGTAGAAACCATTGTGCTAGGTGCTGAACAAACCCACACAGTAATCCTTTCTGCAAAGAGCTTTTACTATCACATAAGTCATAGAGAACTTTACTCTGATGGCTGGGGAATGTTGTGAACATAAGAAATGGGGAAGGCATTCCATAACAATACATCCCAGCATGAATTTGAGTAATCAATGTTTTATCACTGAAAAACTTTTCACATGTGGCAAATATATTGTGACGGACTGATGGCTAAGCCACAGCTCTGTGGCTACAGCTTGGCTGAAAAGGCTGATGGTAAACATTATGCAAACCCAGGCTGAAGGGCTATTAGAAGCAGCTGTGGGCCTCATTAGCCAGAGGGCTATAAAAGGCAGCCAGAGAAGACTCGGAGAGGGAGAAAGGAGAGCAAGAATCCAAGGTGTGACTGAGTATGCTCCCCGGGCAGAAGGAGAAGCTAGCTGAGTTTGCTATAATCCAAAAGCTTTCTAAATAGAAGATGGTGGGAAATTGACAATAAAAGGCTTGGAGTGACTGCACCAGAAGGGGTCTCTGGTTGATTTGTGGACCAAAAGGTGTCCCAGGACAAGCGGCCTGAGAGAGGACCTTGCCACAATACTGGGCTCATTCTATTCCCATTGGGTATGTCTACACTACCCCCCTAGTTTGAACTAGGGGGGGTAAATGTAGTCATACGGAGTTGCAAATGAAGCCCAGGATTTGAATTTCCCGGGCTTCATTTGCATAAAGCCAGCCGGCGCCATTTTTAAACGCCGGCTAGTTCGGACCCCGTGCCACGCGGCTACATGCGGCACGGACTAGCTAGTTCGGATTAGGCTTCCTATTCCGAACTAGCTGTACACCTCATGGAACAGGAATTAGGGGGGTAGTGTAGACATACCCTTAGACTATTTGTGGAGACTAAGTTAGTGTTGGTTTTTTATTTGGGTATACTGTAGCAGTTGTGATAATTTCTCTGATTTTTGGAATTTCTTGGGCACCTGTTACCTAAGTTAGAGGTAGGAAATAATTTTTGATGGGAGAAGAGCCATTACTCCAAGTTTTTGGTAAGTAGTCTAAGGTTGCACTTTTCTATGGAGAAAATGGGGGGTGTCTGGGCAGGAGGTTGGGTGCAGAGGGGAACTTGGCTAGTTATACTGGTGAAAATCTAGAGCAACTGTACTGAAGTTAGCAAAATTATATAGATGAAGAACCAATAGTAAATATTAATTCACTACCTCTCACTAACTCCCAGTTCCCTCTCCAGCCCTGACTCCTCTCTTCCCGTCTCAGCCCAAGCCTGTGCTCAGCTCCTTCTAGCACCCATGCTATCTTCTCCCAGCCCTGCCCCTCCTGCAGCCCCGGGCCACCTTTCCCTCTTTGACGGGTTGTGCATACCCACACAAACAGGTGGGGCTGAAACTCTGTGGGTAGAGGAAGTCTCACCCCTTCACTCAGACTGGGCATGACCCAAATGCTGGAGCAGCATAAAAGGCAACAAAACAGCTCAGTCTGGGCTGAGCACTGAAGGAGAAGGACCTTCGACCGGAGCTCCTGGACTCGACCAGCCAGTGACCCAGACGGAGGGAGACAGAGCCCCAGAAGAATGCTGCCACACAGCTCCTGAGCAACCCCAGTGAGAAGCAGCTGCGGGGAAAAAGAAGACCCATCCACTTAATGGGACGCCATCCCACCAGCGCCGGTAGGAAGTGACCCAGGGAGGGTGCAGGAGAGGCCTCTCCCACCCAGGTAAACTCGGCATGTTTTCAACCGGATTTTCCACGAAAGGAGTACTAGACCGCTCTGCCACTCACAGGGCCCTGGGTCAGGACCTGATGGAGTAAGTTGAGCCTGGGTCCCCCTAGCAAGGCGATTGGCCCTAACCCCCCACGACCCTATAAACTTGAGCTACCCAGCTGTGCCGCACAGCTGGGTGTCCCAAGGGCCTGCATGACTTGGGACACCCAGCTGTGCTACCCTGAGCCAGGGGGTCACCTCTCACTGACTCTAGCTACCAGCATATACCATCCTGGACCAAGGGGCGGGGTTCATAGACTATGGGAGAGACTGCCGGTGGTCCAACGGCTGACTAGGTGGCATCCACGCCCTTGGGTAACCTTTCCCAAGAGACAGGGTGTGCATACATCATGACATCCTCCCACGACTAGCCATGATTGATGTGGCTGCTGATTATCCACTTTTTGCCTCTGTCTGCTTCCTCCACGCTAGCACTGGCTGTTGCCAGGGGGAACTGAGATTGTGGGATTTGGGGACATGCCTCTGAGGCACCAAAATCCTTCCCAGGACCCACCATTGCTAAAGGAGGTCTCAACAGCACTGCTGCAAAGTCATTCTGTCCTGACCGTAACCCAAAGACCTATCCTAAAGCAAGTTCTGATAAGTCAGGTGACTTAGGAGAAGAATGAAAGAGGAAGAAAAAAGACATACTTAAGCATATGTCCTAAGCAGCATAAATAGAAGAAATGTGTCTTGCTAAAAGACTGCTGCACTGATCTCCAGCATTTGGATTCCCCAAATCTAACAAAATACTCTGACTCAAAGTCTAAGGTTCTAAGTAATGATCACATATCACTAGCCATTCCTCACCCCCACTGACAACAGACACAGAAGTCAGCTTGCGCCATCTGTTTCTCTCAGGTCAGAGACAGAGGTTTTTAAGTGACTCAATTTATAAAAGTTCACTGTAGCTTCTCTACAGACAACCTGTGGAAAAGCAAGTGCTATTTTAGGGGACACACTTCCCCTGTTTAATCATTCAGACATTCAAAGAATTAAATGTTTAAAAGAGTTAAGTAAATAGAGTAAATTATACATCAGGGACACTTCACAAATCAGGACTTCAGAAACCAGCTTGCATTGGAGATGTTCTTCCAAGTTATTTCCATAGTATAAGTATAAGTCCAGTACTGAGACAGACAGATTTTGGGAACAGAAGCTTGGAAAAACATAAATGCATAAAGCGAACCTTAAGAATATGATTTTCTCCTCCCTTTGCTTAGAAGGAGATAATTTAGGTAAGTTCTCAAAAGATGAAATAAAAACAGCTGAAAATAGATCTATTTGTGTATAAAAAAAATCTAGCAGTACTAGATGGACAATTTAATGTTTCTGATTAACCTGACTCTTGCAGACTCTCATTAATATATATCAAACATTATTCATGTTTATATGCAGAAGACAATATTAACATTTTTGTAGCATTTAAATCTTTCCTAAGTCACAGTGAAAACATATCCTCTTCCTTTCTGTTTTCCCTCATGTCTCTAATTCAGGACCAGCCTTTTTTTCTCTTATTTATTTCTATTCTATATAACTATTTTGAAAAAGGTAAATATATTTTTATTTTATTTGAAGTATGACAATGTCTCTGAATCAGTCACTCAGCCTACTTTTGGAATTGTCAGGAATTAACTACAGAATTAAGAATGTAATTAAGAATACATTAATGGAACATGAAAGTGCAGCTTTATTCTTAAGTGACTATGTAAAAATGGAGCATTGTTACTCAGGAGGTGTGGGTTCAGTCATATCTGCAGAACCTTTGTTAGTGCCAATGACTCATGAAATGCAATGACCAAGCTGAGGTTTCAAACCAAGGCGGAATTAAGAATTGGTAATTGAATGGGGGGGGGGAGGGCAGGAAGGAACATTTTATTGTAAACTGAACTTATTTGATACATAAGTCTTTGAGGAACAAACATGAAATCCCACAATATCATTTTTACAGTCACTTTAAAATCATTCTTTAATGTAACCAGATGAAAACAGTAAAGATGAGTATACTGGGAGGTAAGCTTTGAGAAGTGACAATGCATCAGTCAACTGAACCATCAATCTTGCAGACAAAACCTAACCAAACCAAACGTTTTTATACTGCATTTGCAAACTTAAAAGCAGCACTTAAAAATGGCTAGCTATATAATGCTTATATAATAAACAAGTCCACTATCTTATCAAATGAAAGTATTGGGGCAGCAGAGCTTAATGCAAACCTCATTCATGTCACAAATTAACCCACATTATTAACAGTGAACATCAGTAAATACTCTTCATTTACCAAGCATTTCTTTGTCTATCATGTTAAACTGCTTTAGAAAGGTTGGTTGTTATCCTCATCTCAGGAACGTGGAACTGAAGGATGGAGTGGTCATGTGACTTGCCCACAATAATACAGTGAATCATTAGCAAAGTCAGAAACAGAACTCAAGTCACTTGCAACATCTCCTGTTCTGAGCACTAGACAACACTGCCTTCCATGGACAACCAGTGACCTGGCCATTGGGGAGCCCAGTCCCTGGTTCCTCCCCTTGTGTCTGAGGCCCTGTCCCTTTCCTTCTGTATCTCTCCCACTCTGCTGCCGCTACTGAAGCCCAGAGCACTCAAAACCCACGTGGCCAACCCTGGAGTGTCAGGCAGGTGGCACAGCCCTGATGCCAGCCTCCCCGAGTTCCCACAGCAAGCCAGCCAGCTTGAATTACGGCAGAGCACTGGGAACTGCAGGAGGGGGCCTAAGGTAGAGCACGAGTGAGGTGGCTACACCAGGATTTTTGGGGAGGCAGCCTCCCTCAGCCTCTAACCCATGACCCATGCTAGTCTTAGACTTTCTGGAGCCTAGAGCTGAAGCTAAATTCCAAGCCCCATTGCTCAAGGGTTTTGGCTTCAACATGGCTCAGGCTTCAGCTTAACTCCCCCTCTCCCCAGGCAGTGGGGCTCAGGTTACAGCCTCTCCCTCTCATTCAGAGCTGAAACCTGCAAGCTTCAGCCCATCCCCAAAGCAGTGGGGTTCACCTTTGCCTCCCCTGCCCAGAATGGCAGGGCTTGGCCTGGCCTTGGGTCCCCCTCCTGGGTCTTGTAGTAATTTTTGGTGTCAGAAGAAGGTCACGGTACAACACAGTTTGATATCCCCTGGCCTAGACTGTTCTGAGAAACAATTGTGACCAATCCTCCTTGTCCGTTACCTGTCTGATGGGAAGTGACGGTGCTTTCTACTTCATGGTTCTTTCTTCACCTGAACTGATGTGCACTTCCACTGGCTTGTCACTGTCAGCTTCAGACTTAAAAAGAAAACACACTCTTTAAAATGAAGCCCAACCCACGGTAAACAATTCTGCCAGAACAGAAACCCAATCCAAGAGCAAAAAAGAACAATTACTTACTTTACACAGTAACTGTTGTTCTTCAAGAAGATATAGTCAGTGTGGATTCCAGTGTAGGTGCACATACACCTCACGTGAACAAGGCAGGACTCTTTTGAAGACTAGTGTCAGTAAGTGTGTGTGTTTATATCTCTTCGTCCAAAGGCATACAGGACTAGGTGGCCACAGTTTTCCTTCAGTTTCCTCCCAAGTCTGTGTTGCTGAGGACTCCAAAAAGCTGGGAGAGAGAGCAGGCTCTGGGATCCACACTGACTACAACACCTTGAAGAACCATAGGTACTCCAGGGTAAATAAATACATTTGTATTAATACAGTTAAAGTATGAAATAATGTTTATGAATCAGTCACTCAGTCTATTTTGGAATTGTCAGGAGTTAAATACAGTAATTAGAAATACTTAAATATTAAAGTGCAGCTGTATTTTTAAAAGTCACTTTGTAAAAATGGGGCATGATTACTCATGAGATGTGTGTGTTCAGTCATAACCTTTGTTAGTGCTGATCTCCCCTTCTGGTATGATTCCCAGTACAGGTGCTGGCAAGCAGTATCCTCTCCAGACATGCAAGTAAGGAGTATCTATCAAATAGTTGACTGAAGAACAGCTCTTTCAAACTTAGCATATGCTCTGGTTGGCATGTCAAGATATAGTAAAAGCCAATGGACTGCTCCACATGGCTGCCTGGCAGATCTTGGAGATCAGTACTTTTCTGAAGCAGGCTGCAGATGTTGCCTATGTCCTATTGAAGTGTTTCTGGAGGTTCAGAGGGAGAAGCTCACCAGTCAGCTAACAGTAAGTGGAAATACACCATGTGATCCCCTTTGAGATTCTCAGGGATGAGATGGCTAGGCCTTTTGTATGCTGCACATGGCCAGAAAGAAGGACAAAGAAAATTTGAAAAGCTTGGTCCTGTTAACATGATAAAGCAAGACCCTGAACATATCCAGAGTGCAAAGCTTCTTTGAATGACTAGCGTGGTTTCAAAAAGACTAGTAAGCAGGGTTTGCTCTAAACTGAACAGCCACATGGCCAAGCAGCTGTCCAATAAGCTCCATGCAGGAGCTGAGGGCTGCGTGCTTCTTCAGCCCCAGCAGCAGGGCCAGATTAAGAAAGGGCTTTAGAAGCTGCAGTTTATGCTCCTGGGCTAAGGGAGACACAGCCCCCCCCATCACTCCATATTAGTGCACATAATTCATTCTGTACATGGACATAAAAAATTAGAGGGAATGCTGATAGTCAAATGGAATTCCAAGAGCACTTTAAGGGTGAACTTAAGTGTGATTTCACCACCACCTTGCCCATGTGGAAAGATGCATAAGGAAATCTAGGCATAAGAAGTTACAGTTCACTGGCTCTCTGTGATGTGATGAATACAAAAAACAGCATCACGATACTGAGTTGGTTTAATGAACATTGTGCTAATGGTTTGAAGAGAAGCTCTGTAGGAGAAAAATATTAAGCTCTCATATGGGAGTCAGGACTCTAAGCGTACGTCTACACTGCAACACTATTCCAAAATAACTTAGTGTGCGTCTACACAGCAGGCAGTTATTTCAAAATAGTGTCAAAATACTGTCAAGCTGGAGGACTTCTTACTCTGGCTCCTGTAACTCTCATTGTAGGAGGAGTAAGGGAAGTCAGAGGAAGAGGGCTCTATTTCAAAATAAGTGCTGTGTAGATGCTCTCAATTTCAAAATCAGCTATTCTGAAATAAAGCTATGCAATTGACATAGCTCAATTTGCATAGCTTATTTTGAGTTAAGCCCTGCAATGTCGACGCACCCTAAATGAAGAACAAGTACGAAGAGTACCCTGGAGGCACACAAAAGTGAATAAGCCTGTATTGGAGCATAACATGCCTATAATATTGATTCAAGTTGGACTTTAAAGGAGCTGGACTGTAGACCTGGCTGTATCAAGAGAAGTATACAGACCAGAATGTTTGTTGTTAGAGCCGCTATTGAATTCACATAGTTCTAGGCTATCCATATGGTAAATCTTTTCCACTTTTCGGCAGAGTCTACCTGGTGGAAGGTTACTAACTTTGTAAAAGAACTTCCTGGTCCTGCTCATCCAGCCACATGTGGAGCATTTATGGGACTGGGTGCAATATTTGATCCTGGTTTTGTGATAGCTGCATAATCATTGTGATGGCCAGAGGCCTGGCTGCAGTAGGTCCAAAGAATCTATTACTGCCTGGAAGGCAATTTTAACCTCCAGCCGACCTTCCTTTTATGACATCTTTCAGCTCTTCTCTTTCTCCATACCAGAGAGTTGCAGAGAGACCAAGGGGACTGCAGTCTGCACCAGAAACTCCTAAAAGGCCTTGAGACTGTTCACTGCAGAAGCTACCACCTTATTCAGCAATGATGAGAAGAGGTTCTCAGACAGTGAAAGAGCCATCCAGCTTTAGAGCTTTCTCCTCTCTGTAGTCCGGTGACTGAAGTCTTGCTAACAAAGTCATGGGATTCACAACTGTTATGAACTGGTGGGCTTTAATAGCCTCAACAGTGCCATGATGGTATTCTATATGTACAAATAGGATGGCAGGCAGTGTTCCCTCTAAGTCAGGCCTGGGCAAAATATGGGCCCACGGATGCTTCAGGGAGCCCCAGACAGACTCCCTGCTTGCCTTGCCCCACCCCACACACCATTCAGAAACGTGGCTGTGGGATGGTTTTTCTTTAAAACCTCTTGAGCCCAGAGAGGGGAGGGAAGGCTTCAACTGCTGCTCCAGTCCCCAGCACAATCCCATTGGCCAGTGAAATGGCCAATGGAAGCTGCCAGTTTGAATAACAGGCAGCCATGAATCACCACACTCCCTTCCTTCCAGGGCTTGTAGTTATTCACAAAGCACATGGCTGCAACTTGTGAGAGGATGGGACCTGCCTGCCTGAGAAACTGCTGGGCTGATGTCTGCTAAGTCTCCTGGCCAGAGCTTGCCTCTGACACCACAGCCCCTCCCTTCCCCAACCCTCTGCCCCCACTCCTGTCCATCTCATGCACCCAATCCCCTGCCCCACAATCCAAACCCCTGCACTCCCTCCTGTACCCCAATTCCCTGCCCTAGGTTACAACCCAACCCTCTGCACCCCAGTCCAGTGTCCCAGGTCACAATTTGCCTCCTTCACCCAAACTCCTTCCCAGACCCCACACTCCCTCCTGTACCCTAACTTACCTCAAGTTCCCTTCTGCACCCAACCTTTATCCCAACCCCACACCTCCTTCATTAATATCATGGAAGAGTACATACCTTGACCACTTTCCAAATTCTTGGAGTGTCCTCCCCATCAAAAATTATTGCCCACCCTTGCTCTAAGATGTGGGGCAGCACAACTTCATACCCAGTCAGAGGCTTAGGACTAAATTATCAAAAGGAAAGCTCATCACCTAATAAACCATCTTGTTAGTCTTTAAAGTGCTACATAGTTCTGTCTTTTGTTTCAGCTACACCAGACTAACACGGCTGCATCTCTATCATCATTCCAAAGAGTTTCAGAAAAATTAAGAACTTTGGCCAATGCTACAGTCTAGCCCAGGATTGGCTACCTATAGGGAGACTGAGAGCAGCATGGGGGGCAAGCAGACCCGGCTGCCATATTACCCATGAAGCCTTCCTGGAGCCAGTAGTCTGGAGAGCTACAATAAGTGCGACTGCCAGCTGGACTCCTTGCACTCCTGGCGAGACACAGCTTTTGGACCACACACAGCCCTTGGACCACTAATTTATTTTGTGACCCGTGTGGAGCAGCAGCTGGCTGCCACATAGGAGTGACTTGCATCTGTTTAATAAACCCTGTTACAGACACTGAAAAGAAAGAGTAAGTGCTGCCCAGATGCTGTATCACCAGCCTGCTCCTACCCCCTTCCCCTTCCCCTGGCTAGACACCCTACTCCCAGTCTGTTCCTACCTCCCACCCAGACCTCACCCCCTCTTGAACCCCACCTCCTGCCCAGATCCTGCACCCCTATTCCTATCCCTCACACTGGACCCCTCATTTGTTGCCTCACCCCAGAACCTAAGGGCTCCCACAAAATCTATTAATCTGGAAACCCAGAAAAATTAATCTGGCTGAGGCCTTGAACCTCAGTCTTCCCTGTCCACGGGGCTGGAGTGCTGGGGACTGAGGTGTCTCAGTTGGGGGCCACATCAGTGAGGGTTGGGGATTTTGGAGAGGTTGTTTTTTTGCTTCTCACTTGTGTGGTCCCTGACTCTCTTTATTTATGGCAGGGTGGGGAACCTTTTTGAAGTTAGGGGCCACTGACCCAAAGAAAAATCAATGTTGGACCTTTTGTGTTGAACATAATATTTTACTTTATCACTAATATTAAGTTGTATATTTTCAGTCACGCAAATGGACATTCTTATACGGCTCTTTGTTGACCACTTGTTCTGAATTTTGATATAGTTTGGCTCTTCGGTTTGAAAAGGTTGCCAACCCCTGGACCAGACACTGCAACCCGATTAGATTCCATCTCACAGGTATGGATGATAAGAAGGAACTTAGGAAGGGTCATAGCCACTCAGTGCTTTCTACCCTCACATGGGAGCATAGGGCAGGGACACCGCTATTTTAAAAACAAGAGAAACCCCTCTCCCCAGACTTATGTGCACCTACACTGCAGAGCAACCACTTTTTTCAAAATGAAATGGTCATTCAATCGGATATGCCCTTTCTCTCTTGCCCATTACACACAAAACTGCTCCCAAAGCATTTCTAGATTTAAATGTCCCTGTGGTTGGTGTAACAGTAAGTAATGGAAGAACAGAAGTTCAGTAAAAGATGCTTTATCTGATTCATTTTTGTCTTCAGTAAATTACAGAGGTAGAGAATTTCCCACAGATGTTATAGTTGCCATGGTGGATTCTTAGAATTCTGTGTTGATTTACACAATAGGG